CGTGTAGAGATTGTTTGGTTAATGCTAGGTCGAGCTTGAGAGCTTGTGAAGGTTATGAAGCTAGAGCTTTCTTTACAGGGTGTTACTTGAAGTATTCTACACATAAGTTTTATGACGATGCTGCTGAACTTAAACCAGACGATGGTATGTAACATTTTTAGTTATGAGTGTTGAGATCATTACAATTAAACTTGTTTTGTTTTTGTTTTTCTTGTCCAGATGAAGGAAGCTTTATAATTTCATCGTACTTACCAGATTTGAGTGAGCAAGATGTTATGAAACTAGCAGTTGCTGCTGTCTCCTTGTCGATGCTTACTTCTCTTGGTGCCTTTATTAGTTACAAAAAGTTTTCAAGGGAAAGAAAAGGTATTTGAGCTAATATATGAGTTTTTTTTTTAATTAACCTGTGGCAAACCGGATAAAACATTAGTTTTGTGTCCTCAAATGTTTTTGAAAAATTTATATGTACACACGCTCTAAAAAAAAATTTTTAGACCCCAAAATCTATGAACAAAAATTAGATAAAATTGTTAAGAAATCGCGTTAGACCCCCTAATTTTCAAGACTGGCCCTAATCTGGGGTTATCCTGGACCTATGAGGTTTAGTGGAAATGTTTCTGAATTGTGGTATTTTTTTTTTGGTCTAGCTCAAATACCATCGTGTTCTAACTTCAAATACGAGGTGCTTGAGAAGGCGACAGAGTCTTTCCACGACTCGCTGAAACTAGGACAAGGAGGAGCAGGTTCTGTATACAAAGGGTTTCTTCCTGATGGCAGAGTTGTTGCAGTCAAAAAGCTCTTCTTCAACACTCGTGAATGGGCGGATCAGTTCTTCAACGAAGTGAATTTGATTAGTGGAGTTCAACATAAGAACCTTGTGAGACTACTTGGTTGCAGCATCGAAGGTCCAAAGAGTCTTCTTGTCTATGAATATGTTCACAATAGAAGCCTTGACCAAATCCTCTTCAGTAAGTCACAAACATCTCTTTTAAACAAACGATTAAACATGTGAACTAACTTTGTTTTGGTGTTGCAGTGAAGAATACAGTCCACATATTGAGCTGGAAGCAAAGGTTTAACATCATTATAGGAATATCAGAAGGTTTAGAATACCTTCACAGAGGTTCTGAAGTGAAAATTATCCATAGAGACATCAAAACAAGCAACATTCTCCTTGATCAAGACTTGAGTCCCAAAATAGCTGACTTTGGACTCGCACGTTCATTAGGCACTGACAAAACTCAAACCAATACTGGAATCGCTGGAACATTGTGAGTGTGTGAACCTCTCAACCAAGGCAAGTTTCAAAAAAAAAAATAGAGTATAGAATTTTTGATGTTGTTTTTATGGAACTGTAGGGGTTATTTGGCTCCTGAGTATCTCATCAAAGGCCAACTAACAGAGAAAGCTGACGTTTATGCATTTGGAGTTCTTATTATTGAGATAGCAACAGGGAAGAAAAACAATGCATTTTCGCAAGAAACTAGCTCGGTTTTACACAAAGTAAGTAAGCTTTGTTTCCTTGTTTAAGTCGGTATACAAACTAGACCGAATCTTAAATTTAAGGGGCCAAAACATTTTTAGATAAATTTTAATAAAATTTAAAATCGACAATTTGGTGGCTACACGACTAATGTGTAATATTAATAAAAAATTTGAAAAAATACATTTATGAACAAAACAAATATTTCATCCGGCTATGTCTAAAACCGGTCATGTATATAATACACACTCACAATCATATTAAAGCTTTGTGTTCTTATTGGATAGGTATGGGAACATTTTAAAGCAGACACTCTAAGTAGCTCGGTGGATCCTCGGTTAAAAGGGAAGTTCACAGAGGAAGAGGCGTTGAAGATTCTTGAGATCGGTTTGCTGTGTGTTCAGTCTTCAGTAGAATTGAGACCTTCGATGTCTGAGATAGTCTACATGTTAAAGAACAAAGATTGTAAATTTGATTCTCCAAAACAGCCTCCGTTCTTGAGTGCCAGTGTTCTAATGGCAGATGAGGAGATTAGAGACTAGAGTCTGGTAGCGTCATTTTCTTAGGATTTGTAAATGTTCTTGCGTTGTGATTATAAAATGCTCAACAAACAATGATATTTAAGTTGAATGGCTCATCTTCTTCGTTGCATAATCATAATCTCGTAATACTACACAAAACGAAGGCTCTGAGTAATATCTCTTAAAAGGAGTGGTAATTGGTAAGGAACTAATTAAGGAGTACTGCTTATTCTGTAACCAGTCGTTAGGGTGGTACATGTAAATAATACAAAGCAATTTCGAGAAACATAACAAGCCAATGAAATTGATGGTATAACCGTATAGGTCGTCCCTCAACCAAAAAAACTTACAACATGGTGCATAAGCATTTATTTGCAAGAAAAAAAGATAACTGTATGTAAAAAGAAACATTCAAAATAGTGTCGAATGTAAACTACAAAGTTAGTATACATAACTTTCCCCAAAGCAAATTATTACATACTCGTGTATATATATGCGTAATTTAGTATAGATAAATAGAAAGTGAATTCAAAAGAGAAAAAATTGTAGAAAAACCCAAGCAAACTGTCAGTGTTTTTGCAAAATTAATCTTCACATTGAAAATGCAGGCCAATGCATTATTCCCAATGTAATTCGTGTGTATTGATGATTTTTCACGTAAAACTTATAAATTAAAACTTATGCATGAACCTACTAGTGTATTTTTCAGTTTTAAAATGTACTCCATCCGTTTTAATTTAGTTGTCATTCTAGGTTTTTACACAGATTAAGAAATTAATTAATTTTACATATTTTCACAATAAAAACACAATTACCTATACACCTAACCACTTTTCAACCAATAAAAAATAGAATGATTTTTAAAATCAATAAATTTTGCATTGAAATTATAAAACGACACTTATTTTGAAAGTAAAATTTTACTCTAAAATGACATTTAATCTGAAACGGAGGGAGTATGTATTAACAAGAAGAATTATGTATGAATTGGTGTATGAAATCGCTTATGAAATGTATGAGGTTCATATGATCACAATATATTGTTTATAAGATTTTAGAATAATTATAACCAACTACACTTATACGTTTGTCCAAACGAAGATGTAATATTTCTCCCCGGCAAATCTAATATATTTCATCCATTTCACTTTAGTTGTCATTTTAGGTTTTTATACATAGAATAATAAAACATTTAATTTTATATATTTTCAAGATAAAAATACAATTATCTATACACCTAATCACTTTTTCAACCAACAGAAAAATATTATATCATATAAAACTAATAAATTTTGTCTCGAAACTCTAAAACGACATTTATTTTAAAATATTTTTTTTTCTCTAGAGTGACAACTAATCCGGAACGGAAGAAGTATATCATATTGTTACCTGTTGTATGAATCAAATGTGCTTTTGACTAAGACTTATGCACATACACAAATGTACATGTTGTGACAAGATAAAAGAAAGTGTAGCATTAGATGGAAACATTGCTCTAAACATGCATCAAAACCTGCTATTCTTAAATACCATGAAGATATTAACCTCAATTTTGTTTACTTCTCTTCTTCTATTCAGGACCAGTTCAGCATTTTATGGGGTTTTAGGACAAAAACAAATTTTAAATTTTCAAATTTACTCAAATTTAATAAGTATTTTTTTTTTGTCATAAAAATTAGATCTCTTAGCTATTAAGGGGATGATTGGTAGTTGCTGTAGATGCTGTCCACAGCCCTATTTATTTCTACAACACTAAATTAAAAGCAATCAAGCTTTAATTTTTTTTTAAAAATCACAGCTCTTGAAATGATCTACAGCTATACAAGTGCTCTGCAGAGCCAAATATCCGAAGCAATTTTTAGTGCTTTATCTACAGCAATAAAATCTAAAGCCACAGCAAAAAATCTACAGATTTTTTTCTACAGCAAAAACTTTAAAGCTACAGCCATTACCAATCGGACCCTAAGTCACGAAAACACAGATGTTGACACCGTGTGTCTCTTACTTTATTAGTATTTATCTAAATTTTCATTAATTTCATTTTGTATCATGAAATATATAAATAGTTTATATTTTAATTTTTCTTAGTTAATAATATTCCCTCCATTTTCAATTTTCTATATAAAATATATTATAAGTTAATGTTATATGATCAATTGATTTAATATCTCTATCTTATTATTAATTTAACTATAGTTAGGTAAATAATTAATGATGTTTTTGATTAGAAAATATACAAATTAAATATATGTGCATAATTCTAAAATATCATATAATAAAAAATAGAGGAGGTAATAAACTATAAATTTAAAATATAATATAATTTATGAAATTAGTATTAATTTAATTTATTGGAAATTTTAGTCACAAAATTTATTTGAATAATTTTGTGTTTTTTGGTCAACATAATTTTAAATATTTTTAGGTGTAAGAGTTGAAAAAAATAAGCTGTATCTATTTTTCCCCCATTCAACAGCTTCCCCTAGAAGTCACAAACCCTTCCC